GAATGAGCAGCCCACAGCTCCCTCCTGCTCCTGTCCCCAGGGTCCCATTCACTGTCCTGGCTGGGCAGCGCCTACCGCTGCCCCACTCTCTCCCTCACTGTGGTGGCCTTGATCTGCCCCCCCCCCCAAACCCTTCCCCTCCCCCCCCCCTTTCCCCCCACAGACTTACCAGCAGGACAGTGCTCTCCAAGCTGCCGGGCTGCATTCCTGGCTGCGTGCATGTCGGCTGGTGGCATTTATCGATGACATTATCGGCTACACCAGCCAGAAAAAGCCAATAGCTGATAATGTTAATTTTCCTTTTATTGGTGCTGATCCAATATGTGACCCATATATTGGTGCACCTCTATTGTTCAGGTAACTACCCTGCCCAGAAAGGTACGTATGCATTGACAAGGTGTCAGGCAGGAGGTGCCATCTGGCTGGCAAGCCCGTCACTTCTGATCTATTTCTCAGCTGCCAACCTGTGCCCCAGGACAGTGTTCTACACACAGGCTCACAGGGACAGGCTAAGCTTTTCAGCTGATCACATGGCAAAAAGGAGACGGACTGAATTTAAGAAGGGGTGTTTCTCTGAGCGGAGGGGCCAGCTACCACTGCATATAAGGAGGACTGAACGGTGAGAAAAGGCAGGAGAGACTTTGAACTGCTGAGGAATCCTAGCCCATGGAAGAGGAGAGATTGGACAAGGGGAGTGGAGATGTATGTCAAGATTCTTGGCATTTGGGAAAGTCTGTAATATTCGGGTGCTTGTCAGCTAGAAGCTGAAGGGTCCACAATGAATGAGAGAGAACTGAGGGAGCATATGTGAAAAATGAGGAGACTTGGGAGGCCTGAGACACTGGTTTGTGTGCGGGCCAGGAGTGGTCTGAGGCCTTTGGGGGCGCACGGCGGGCTGTGGCCAGCAGCCCTGGCACGTGGGTCGGGGAGTGCAGGCCGGCGGACTAGAATTAGGCACGGACGCGTAGCGGTTGATTAAAGATTATTTTACTTACACCGTAGTTGGTCGCGGTGCAGGCAGGATTAGCTTCGCTTAAGTTGCAGTTACAAAACTGGTACGAACAAGACCCGTAGAAAAACTCGAGCCTCTTGAAATAACTTGGAAAGAGCTCTGGATACACACACACACAGAGTTTGCTAGGCTCCGTGGAACGAAAGCGCGCAGGGAAGGGTACATCGAGGGATTAGGCGGTGACAGGGAGAGGCTAGAGGTTGATCAGGCCCCTATATCCTTCTTGAGGCATATGCTGGGTTTGTTAGGCTCCGCAGCGCTTAGAGATCTTCACAAGATGTGAAGTCCTCCTTCTCCTCCAGATGGTTGTGGAGTCCTCCCTTGCGGGGTTCTCCTTGGAGTTCTCCAACTTGGGCGGAAACCGCTCAAGCCTCTTATACGGCTAGCAAGCCAATCGCTAGCCGCCACGTGGGAATAATTTAGAACTGGCCAATAGTGGGACACAAGTTTGCATGCGGGTGGCGGGAACTTCTTTGCACTGGGGTTTTCTCTTTGCAACTGAGAATTGCACCATGCAAAGAAAGCTCCTCGTGGTGGGAAATAATTCTGCAGTGCCGAAACACACACAAAATCATACCCTTGGGCTATGACAGTTTGGAGGAGTAGGGCAGCTGATTTGCATGCTTTCACATCCCAAAGAAGGGCTTGAACAAGAGGTGTTAGTCAGGGAGTAGCTTTTTGCTGAACAATGGATGGGTGACAGTGCAGAGGGGGACTAGGCCAGGAAGTGGCAGGAACCTTTTGTTTATAGGTCTCTACAGAAAGCGGCCTGCAGAGCCCCCAGTCTCAGTAAGGCTTTGAGATAACTGACACCAGTTGTTTCAGTCATTATAATGTATATTTTTAACTTACACTAGAAGCAGAGCGTAGTGATTGAGGCCTTGTGGGTACATGTACATCTGACCGGAGAGCTGAATGAATCTTCCGTGGCTGTAGCTACTGGCCCGCATTACCCCTGCTTGTGATTTCTCCTTGATGCAGTCTCCAAAGGTATTTCACTGAGGCTGTAGACAGATGTTGTGTCTGTCCCAGGAGTAAACCGTTTATCCCAGGATCCTATAGATGTACAAGTCTGCTGTCCTGCTTCAAGTCCCTGCAAAGTATGCTGGATAAAATATGCTAGCACCTTTTTCCCGGGACGTTGCTGTGTGCATCTATATCGTTATTGTGGGTCATTCCTGGAACAAGCCTAGTAGGCTGTGCGTTGTTGCTGGAGGAGGAGCAGGAGTGTAGCTTGGAAGGGTGACACGTGTGACTGTGCTATGCCTGTTTGGATCAGAATTCAACCATGGGACAAACAGGCCCATGTCAAATGAGACACCTGTTTCACATCCTGAATGTTTGTGGGTGTTTCAGGTTGCCACCAGGCCTTGGTTTGCCGTTTGATGGCTGACAGTCTGCAGTGATGGGTGACAGGCTCAGTGGATGCCATGTTCCACCTTCTGCCTCCTCCAACACAGAAGGAAATATTTGATATAACCCTTGGCCTGCCACACCTCTGCAGAGGGCATAGATATTATAATAAGTAAGAGGTGGGAGAAAGCATGCAGAGACTGGGGGAAATAGCAGCGTTAATGTTCCTCTCTTTCTCCTACTCTTCTACGTCCAGCTGCAGGGCTGATGGTTTGTTTTAACTGCTCCGTTTATGCAGCTGGCTCATCTTGTAGCCTTCAAGGGTGTGGAAGCCCCATAAGGCTGCATTTTGTGTGCTAGTCTCAGAGCAGATGCTGCATCTTTAAGTCAGCGCACAAGGGTTCTGCTCTTCTTCTTTGGCATCGCTCACCAGAGTCACTTAGCGGGACATGGATTTTTTTTTTTTTGTAAGTTGTTTATGGATCCCTCCCTTCTCTGTTTTTAAAAATAAATCTCTTAAAATAAATAGTGTGCTCCAGTTTTGGTGAAGAAAACTCTGTGTGTTAGAATCCAGTGCCTGATCCCAGGAAGATCCTTCAGCGGGGTCCAGCAGAGGTTACAGTCGGTCCCCGTGGCCCAGCCTGCAGACTTACGGCTAAGGCAGCCCATGTTCATGACTGTGTTGTTCCGTTGAAGCTCGTGTCTTAGGACACTCTCAAAATTAACATTGTTCTTTCTGATAGGATCAGTGGGGAGAAAAGCAGGAGATAACGGTGGACAGCTGGTGGTTGAAAACTTGTCTGGCTGAAATATACCCCAGGATATGGTCTGGGAGCCAGCCAGGGAGACATGTGGTGCAATAACTGAACTGTAAAAGTTGGTTGATTATGACGAGGAGGCTTCATTGAGATGAATTATTATTGTTTTCATTTGACTCCATCCCCATTCATCTTTCACATGCACACTTGCATTAATGGTTTCTCAGATTTCAGAGTCGGTGGCTTAATAGACCAGGTTGTTTGCATCCGAAATGGAAAAAATCAGAATTTGCAGCAGGCCTTGGACCACTGGAAGGGGTCTTACAACTACTTACCTTAACTGGGTGGAGACATTTTTGTTTGTATGTAGCAATCGCCTCAGGAGCGTGAAGGCCAAGTCACTTTCTGTAAGTGCTCTGATGTGTGCCTTCCTTCTTTTGTCACCGATCTTCCTCTCCGCAGCATAGCTCACTGCTCTGCGGATGGAGCGTGAGAAACAGCAGCGGGAATTTACCTTTTCTGCCATGATGCTCACCAGTCCTGTATTCTCTGGAAGGGTTTTCTTGGCTGTGAAGACATGTATGGGGTAGACAGCTGCAAGTCTGTTCTGCCTTTTGGTAGTGACGGTTCAGAAGTTGGTCAAGTTAATTCAGAGTATGAAGGAATGAAAAATACTATGCTTGATACTCAGCAATGAATTCATGGATTTAGTATTTTTAGAAAAAAAGCATACTTGATCAGGATGTTCAGAGAAAGAGGAAGGATAACTAGTGGGGAAGGAAACATGGGCAAAAAGACCAAAAACAGAAGGCAGAATGAGAACGTTTGGGAACAGG